ACCATGTTTTCTCAGACTATTATGAACATCATAACATTCTGAAAAAACATGGTACAGACTCATAAAATCTGGTATGATTTTCTGGTATATTTTAGGAAAAGAATAAAAGAAATTATAACTAGAACAGGAATATCTGTCAGGTTAGGATTTTTAATAATAATTATTCAGGCCACAAAGATTAATGTTCACACCCACAGGATATATGTATTCGCAAGGGCTTGAGTACAAAATAAATTCTGTTTTCTTCGAGTGCTGGATTTATAGGCTTATTTTAAGGTAGGCCATTAGCGATTGGAGATTAGAATTGAATCAGTTGGTAATTTGTCTGGATTTTTAGGTACGATGTTGAGCTTGTAATAGATTAGTTTCTTAGTGACACGTCCTCACATCTTGGATTAAATATATTTTAAAAATACATTAGTCTCATAGCATCATGGTTATCACAGGATATTCCGTGTTGTCTACAATTCGTTTATGTCTACGAGTATAGGCGAAGTGTACCATCTTCCATTAGGTGAAACATCAGTTTGTTTACCGTTTCAATTAATATATCCTAATAATATAAATAAATAAGCCATGTGGTCCTGGCAAAGAATAGGCCAGCCACACATTCCTGTGGGTGTCGTATGAGGCGACTAAAAGAGGGCGAGAGATGGACAGCAGCGTCTCTCTAGAAACATCTCCAAAGCCAAACTGCTATTGCTAATCCGCTTACCAGCGTGGCAACTACTGGAAAAACTCCCCAAGGTAAAGGCAAGTGGGCAGTTAAAGGCTGATATGATGATGAAACGATGAATAACGTAAATATATTAATTAATACAATAAAAAATGTGAAAGTTTGTAAAAATGAATGGATGGACTTTTGTTGCTTTTGCATTGTTTTGAATGAAATTTGGTACACGGGTAGGTTAAATTCTAATTTAATATATAGGATATGCTGTATACTGATTTACGCGGGTAAAGCTGCGGAACACAATTAGTGAAAGATATATATTGAAAAAGCTTTACACCAGCCAATCTTCTTTATACAACTAAGGTAATCTTTTAACAACAAAGTAACTCCCATATGATTAAATTAGTGCCATCTTGCGGTTTTATCTTTGGTCGTATTATTAATTTAAATACCTTTCTTAAGAATCAAAAGTAAAAAGTATGTTTTAAATTAGACCAGAAATTAGCACGTTTAAACAAACAAACAAACAAACTTTTCCACTTTATTGTATTAGGATAGATGTTACCATAATAAAAAAATAATAATATAGAAATTTGGAAACCGTAGGATTTTGCTAATTAAAATTTATAGACTTAATAAAATAAATGAAATTTCCAGAATATGCGTTGTTGGGCCGAGAATTCTATTAAAGATCTAACGGGCGGAGATTTAAATAAATTTTACCGCAAATTTCTGCGTCCGTTCGCAACGTTTTAATCAATTTGGGATATTGTATGCTGTCTAATTAAATAACTTAGGTCGAACATAAAAATATTTTTCAAATGATCTAGTTCACATGATGGTGATGGTAAAATACATAATAGATTTTTTATTAAATTCAAACTGATGGGCCGCCTGATGGTAAATCGTAACTATCGTGTATAAACATGAGCAGCAGTCCTCATGCTTTACCATTCCTGGAGACGCAAGTGTTATGTTTCCGCTGAGAAAAAAGGATAACAAAATAGTACTATCTACCACAGAAAAACCCCAAATCAACTCCACTTATCACTTAGAACTTTTGATCTTCCTTGCTCATGGCAAATCGTAACAGTTATCTATAAACATGTACAGTAGCCCTCATGAAAACCATTCCTGGGGGCGATGGTGTTATATCTACGTATCGTGTAATTTTTCTACTATATCCCACCCTTCAAAATGAACATAGCTACTAGCACGGCTGTTTCACGGCAGTATATTAAAAAAAATCTATTTCTATAATTTATTATCTATATTAAAAATAGTAGTTTTTATTATGTTTATCTAATCTTTAATAGTTAAAGTTTATCTTATTCATCGATATGGTAATCATATAAAAAGATGCTAGTTTGAGAGTCAGGACTACATGTAATTTTGTTGTACATGGTTTAATAAAAAGATTATTATTATTTTTATAAAATATTAATAATTTCTTTATTCGGATCACAATACATATCGTGTTAGTACAAGATTTAGAAAACTATGTGTTATTAAACAACAATATTTCGTTTATATACTTCTATACATCTCCAGCTCCACTGAATCTGTAACAATGAATTTCTATTGCTCCTGTTTTTAGGCATTGACTTTTAAGTTATGTCTGTAAACATAGAAGTTTCTAGAAGCCTTATACACATTCACTGTTACATAAAGTATCTTTGATGATCTTAAAATATAAATGGACTGTATTTTTATTATAATTTTTATGGGTAGGTAACAACTATTACATAATACAGTTACAAGCAGAAAGGAGCAAATTGAGTTTTAATTAAATTTTTAACATTTGCTATTGTTGTCATGCTAATAATTATTATAAAAAGTACAAAACCACTTTATGTTCAAGTTGTCTTGAGCACTCATATCTATTAATCTCATCAAAATCAAGTTAAATACCTAAAGGGTTACCATTACCTTTTAGAATTGTAATAGCCATTTATGTAATTTTAGGTCTTGATTTAGATTAGAGAATTTATTGGAAAATCCATATATATAATGTAAAAGTGAAATATTTTATTTATAAAATTATAATGCCCCTACACTTTTGTTTTGCAGATTCTTGGGAAGTAGACATTGATTAATAAGGGGAAAATCCCACTCGAACTGGTAAATATAAGCTGAATACGTTTAAGTTCGTGGGAATGTCTTCTTATGAGTGTCTGTTTATAAATAGTACAGACATGGTTGTGGGTGAATCGTATAGACTACTACTAAATTTTACCCGAGACTTTGTCCGGGTGATCCGAATATGTTCACTGATTGGAAAGAAAAGTAGCCTATGTTATTTTCCTTAAGTAGTACCTGTATATTAAATTTCATAATAATTGATAAAGTCGCTAAGGTTCCAAGAAGTAACAAACAAATAGATTTGACATAATTCACATGCATTTTAAAGTGAGTTTGTTTATTTGTTATAAATCGGGTAATCCTTACTAAATCACAAATATTATTAGTAACTTATATTATATAGATAGTTTCTCCATACAAATGCTTAGAATAAAACGGGTCAATTTTTCATACAATTTTGCGTGATAAATTGTTATGGGTGAGTCCTTTATAACTTCTATATATATTTTGTCTTATAATTTTTGCATCTTTTTAATGCGTAATACTCATTTTATTTATTAAATAATAAGTTAAGATACATTGTATGCGTAAGTATATATAACTTTTATTTTAACTTATCAATTCTCATTGAAGCCCCGTCAGCGTATACTGAGGACATGGGCAGGATCATCACTCTACTCTCATCCATTAAAAAAATACCATATTTACAGATACAGATTTATTTATGATATATTTTATTGTATACACTAAAAATATATAAAAAAAGATAAATATACAAAGGCGAGCTTAACTCTACAAGAGTTCTCCTTAATTAATTATAATATTAATTATTTTATTTCTCATATTTTAATGAATAGTACAATTAACAACATTAAGTTTATAGTTAATACGATGGGATAGATGCAAAAAGCGGTCTTTTAATTACGATAATAGGGATAAGCTTTAAGTAGAGGAAGATGTTGAAAAACTACAGACAAAGTGAATTTAAACGAGCCTTCGAAAGACTTGGCGTTTTTAATAAGATGGTGTCGATGGCAAGCAGTTATGAATAATCTCTAGATACAAGTGTATATTTCTCTTAATATTAATTATACTATTGAAAGAGCAAATTAAAAGTATAGATTATATATTCTTAAACTAAATAATATTTTAAATAAACTATCTTAACGCGATGAAAAATTGCAGGAAAATAGTACTTACAATATCTGCTTTTTTATTGCCGACGTTTTGACGTGAATTCCAAAAAAAGGTATGTAGGTATTATTTATATATCTATAATGTTTCATTGCGTTAAGTTTTGATAGTTTATTTAAAATATTTGTTAACAACGCAAATGTTTAGAATTAATTAAGTAATAGGTTAACAAAAATATTAAAAAGACTAAATTACCAACATACAGAGTGTATCTGATCGCCCTCCTCGTGGTTCCTTCTGGAAAATATCGTGTTCTATTCCAAGTAAATTAATCACGATAAGCTCACTAACCTTCATTTTCATTGCCACCTATCATCCCTCACTGGTGCGGGGTTACCATTCCATTAGCATCCATTAAAAAAAATATATAAATTCGCAATTTTAATAATTTTTTTACATTTCAATGACAACAATATTTATTTTTTATATTTTTATATTGTCGTAGTTTATAGCACTACCATGATACTAAAATCTATCAAGCCTCTCCCTCAATTTCCTCTTCTTTCTTCGTTAATTGGGTAAATAAATTTATAACTTGATATTAGCTCTCAATAACTTTAATGTTACAACTATATTTATGTAACATTAATATTTCATGTCGTTGTGATAAGCTTCTAATAGAATCCGGTAAGACTACTTTTGAGATGGCATTGAAAATTTATAAATAATATAGTGGATACTCGAAGAGTCATGAGAATGCTGTACTGTTATTAAATTTGAGACTACTATCATGTTAACAAACCATTCTTTTGTTTTATCATTTTTTTATCATTTACATGCTTACTTGCCATATTTTCAACATTGTTAGTGATATTTGAATTTAATTATAATGAATATAATCATTTACATATAAATTATATAAAAATATTAGTTTTATCTGTATTATTATATGCCTTATGACAGATTATAGCGAATACTAAATATATTATTTTATATTTAATATAATGTTATAATTTAATAATGTAATCTTAAAGGGACCTCTATATTATAATGAAATAAATAAATAATATTTACTTGATATTAATTCATAACATTTTGTTATTGTCTGCAGAGTAATGTCGCTGGTGCCGCCGGGGGGCGCCGACTCGCCCAGTCCACGCCGGGCCGTCAGTCCACTGCTGGAAATGAGGAGACCCCACTGCACGCTGGCCTGTGACTACTGCGCAGCTATACTCGAGGACAAATTTAAACGTATGTATTTTGCTCATGTATATTAATCCTAATTGAAAAGTGAAAGTGGGTTTGGTTATTTATACTTTAACAGCGAAATCAATTGTCTTTAATGGCCCACATGTAGTTGGGACAAACAGAGCTATTTTTGGTGTTTAACGTATCCCGGTAGCGCAAACGATAATGCGGGTAAAACCTAGTTACAATAACAATGCAATAAATTGACTGTATTTTGTATTGCTACTATTACTTATATTAATTTTTTATATTACTTTATTTTCTAAATATAATTCTAGAATATATTTAAGATATATCTGAAGATTACTTCTATTAAGAGATTTATAATTAGATTTGCAAATAGTTATTAGTTTATTTAAATATTTATCATCCGCAACTTGATTAGGTATAAAATTTTATTTATAAATAGAATGCTAAAAGGTTTTTCTTCTATCCAAAATTTCTTCTGGATTATTAGTAGTAAATTAAGGACTGCCCTTTGTTATCCTCACATAGTTTTCTCAGTGTATAGGTTCTTGGATAGGTCATTAAACCCACAAGTACTGTAAAAGAGTATTGGGGGCAATAAACGTGCCGATTTAGTAGGTGCCGTTTGCCTTAATTTAAAAATCGTGTCTTTTGGTAATCTGTGAATTTCTTCAGACAAAATGACAAACAAATCTATTTTAGAGATGCGTTTTATTGCTGATAGATAACACGAGGTTATATGAGACAGCAATACCTGGCTTCTTCTTGTTTCTCGAAGATATTGATATTGAAACTTATCTACTGCTAAGTTCATTTTAATTTGACTTTTAGGGGTAGGTAAAATTACCTATTATTTTTTATGTGTATTTATACTTTTAAGCAAATAACTTTATATTAAGAAGTTACTTATTCTAGACAGATAGAAAATATCTTACTATTTAAAACGCCATCGAGTATTTCTGCACATTTCAAAAAGTTTACTGGTAGATAATGTCTATCTGTAGTATTAAGTCCGTCTCATGTGCCACATTTCATTGGTTAATAAAATTTAAATTAATAAATTTAGTTTTGTATGTATTTATTATATGTCTATATATATTTATTTAATATATTATGAATATATCAAGTATTGCTTTAATTTTCCTCTATTTAATAGTGCACTGCCTACTTATTACTCGGTTAGACCAATAGTTAACTGGTAGAGAACACCGTCAAGGATTAAGTCCGCCAAATGTACATAGAATTTTACTGTGCATTAAAGTTAAATAAATAAAATTTACTTAATGATATGTGAATCTGAGTTCTAAATTCGAATATGATGTTGATGTCTACAATACATCTCGACTTTTATTATAAGAGTATGTGTGCTTGTTCGCGGTTAAACCATAAGCCCGCTTCAAGACTCGATGCTGCGCTGATTGCCTTATCCCCACCCCAGCTCAAGCCACCGATCCCCACTCGACAACCCGCTTATCCGAAGTCACAGTCGATTGATAGCTATTCTACGACCGTCCGTTTAAGAGATAATCCGAAATGAAGAGACGTGTTTTGAAAGAAGCTTCTGGGCTTCTGGGCGAAACTCGGATGGCTGTATTAGCCGTGACCCAAATGACAGCAGTCCAAAATGAGAAACTCAGTGCAGAAATGGGAAACCAATTTATATTTACAATATATTTTCTTGTGGAAATACATCATCATCATCATCTCAGCTATTATTTGTCCACTGCTGAACATAGGCCTACCCTATAGATTGTCACTAGGAACGGTTTTGAGCCTCCTGCATTCACTGACTCCCTGCAATTTATTTGAGGTCGCCACTCCATTTAGTGGAGGGTCGTCCTACATTGCCTACCTTGCCTGTATGGTGTGTTGAGCATTATCATATTAGCTTTTAACTGTCCACTACTGAACATAAGCCTCCCTCTTGGGGGGTTTTGCCAGATTGTTATCATGCTTGGCAGACGGATTGGCAACCGTAGTCAGGCTTTGGAGATGTTTTAAGAGGAATGTTGCTGCCCATCCCTCGGCCTCCCTTAATCGATTTTTACGACACCTACGGGATAGGAAGGGGTGGCCTATTCTGTGCCGAAACCACATGGCTGTGTTGAGAGCATACGTACCTGTAAAATATAAATAATAACAACAACCTTTTCTCTCGGCGCCTCATCAACTGTCGGATACAATTTTATTGATGACTGCAATTTATTGTGAAACAAGGCAGGTGCTCCGAATCGAGCAATTAGTGGAAAAATTCGTTGGTAGAAGAAAAAATATTCGGCAATATTATTTTTTAAGTAAACATTATTAAAATTGCAATCGGGATTAAAAAAATTGTGATTTGGGTTCTTTTAGCTTTTAAGCTTAGACTCCTTAGAGCTCCACCTGTGTTACTTAAAAATATATATAAAATATTATATAAAATACTTTGTGTTGATACTTACTTTATTTTTGCTGTTATGATTAATTATTAATCGGCCCAGTTTGGCTTCGCGCGGGTATACAAAATTCATGAAAATATTATATACCCAATTATACTCGCTCCTAAAAGATTTTTTTTTAAATTAATTGAGTAATTTTATACATTACAGACGAAAAAAGAAATACTTTATAATATTAGTGTAGTAATAGAAGTATAGAAGAGAACTCTCAAGTTATATGTTATATTAAGTTATTCTAGGTTTTGTACTGCTAGTTAGATCGTGGAACTAATTAGGTTAACCATTATTCGCACGTAAAATTATAATATTATAATTAAATGGTAATTGTGATTATTAAAAATAACAATAATAATATGTTTGTGTGTGTGCTGTGTGCCAAATTCCCTGCAATATTAGGCTTTTCAAATGATTAATAAATAAACAAGAATCTGAAAACTTTCTTAATGTTTAATAATGGGTAGGTATGTTATTTATATTTACGTTATGCAAAATTACAGGGTACAGAGGTATAACACCTTAGTCCTCAGAAATGGGGGTATCAAGAGCGAGTATACTCTGTTATGTCCATCGTACTGTTCATGTCTACAGGTGACGGTTACCACTTTCCATCAGGTGGGTCATCAGCTTGTTTGCCATTCTAAGTTGCATAAAAAAATTTTAATAAAGATACATTCTCCAACAGGTAGTGCAGATATGCGTAACCGAGGTACGTCGCCTTTGTCTGCGTCACCGAGGCAGTCTCTGACTGGCGAGCCACCCTGGACATTGCCTGATGACGACCGCCCAGATTTTTCAGCTCTTAAAGAAAACATACAAAGAATTAATAAGTAAGTAGTAGTGTATTAAAAATTTAATTCAGGTAAATAGGTCGAATAAATGATTTTCAGGGAGAACTGCGTGGAGGTTGACCAGATTATACCCTATATTGTTAGCAATGAGATAAAATATCGTTGATTGTGACATTCTAACTTTAACTCGTTGTAGAATAAACATATCCACAAATGTGTTTCTAAACAAGTCTATTTGAATAAAGGCGATTTAAGTTTGAATTTGAACGGTTCTACCATTTGTGTAGATAGTCTGTCTCTCTATCTGTAAATCTACAGATATATAGATTTTCGTTGCCGCACACAAGAAGAAGAGCGGAACGGCGAACATTATTGCCTCATTTATCTTTCATCGTGTATGTCAAGTGGCGATATGAATATGCTGTGCAACAAAGTATTAATGTGTGCGTAAGTATTACATTGTCACTTAGCTAGGGAGATTGTAGTTGTGTTAATATTGTAATAGTTCTAATAGGTTTAGGTAGGCACGTCGGATTTATATTACAAATTCTAAAATCTAAATATACGTTCTAAAATTCTCCATTTATTTTTACCAAAACATTTTATTGGCCTTAGTGATAGCTTTTTACAAAATGATTTTAGCAGATTTTTGAGTGAATTTATTCAATCTCCTCATCCAAGATAAATATTAAAATTTTTAAAAGTTAAATTTTGGTATAATATTAATCTGGTTATATAGCCATGTTTCTGTTAAAAAATTAACATGCTATGATTTATACGACAACAAGACAAAATAAATAATAAGAAAATTTATTTATATTATCGTTGCTTCTTAAAAACAGTAAATACGTACATAAAACAGACGTGTAAATGGATCTGAAAATATATAAACTTCCCTTACTGTTTAGCATTAGTCCTTTAGACATTCGAAACAGGAGATAAGAAAGAAAAACGTGATAATGTTGCTCTAGATTAATGATAAGCCTCGGAGAACAGGGCTGCCTGATTTATTTTACATATCATTCTGTTTTATTCATTTATTATATATAAATAGTTCACGTTAATATTTATTTCCCTTGTACAGCGGAAAATGTATATTTTTCTATTTATTCAGTACACTTAGTTTATATATTATATTAAGAAAGTAGTTTAATTTCTCTTGAAGTATAACTTTTTGTTTTTGCATAAACGTATTAATATTTTATTCTTTACAAAGTCGTATAGTCGTACATACATATCTGGTACGCCTGTCTTTCATTAGGGTAGGCAGAAACAATGGAACGCCAAATGCTTCGATTCAAACAAACCACTTTCGCTTCTAATAATAATTAAATATTATATGAATTTATAGTATTATAATAAAAGCAGTGTAAGAAACGTTTATACAATCTTTATTTTAAAATAGATAAGTTTTTTATAACTGTAATGATATTTTTTTTTGGTTATTAATATTTTTTTGTTTCCACAGAATGCACTTTTAAACTTCTAATGTAACCATAGTAATGTATTGTAATTGTAGCTTAATTCAATTTCATAATATGATTCTTGTATATAAGTCGGTTTCAGATGCTCATCGCTATCCTTTCAGATAACATACGGTCTATCTAATTATTATAAAATGGTCTAAGTACAGAGGCTAGGTCGCCTCCCGTAAAAGTGTAAACAATTATAATTTTTTTTTTATTAAATAACAGAGACTGCGAGACGTCAACACGGTTGGACATGCTTCTCACACAGGTGGAACAGTACGCCAATAATTTGGAAGCGTTGGTAGAAGAGCGCACGTCAGATTACCTGGAGGAGAAGAGGAAATGCGAGGAGTTGCTATATCAACTCTTACCCAAGTATGTCAACCTTAGATTATATAGATAGAGTATCGAGCCTCAAAAACGGGTCAACTTTTTGTCAGTTAATTGTCAAATTAGCTGACTCGTTTGTTTTTATCAGTATTCTATATATTTCCGCATAAAATGTATCTCGAAGTATTATTTAATAAATACAATAAGTATTTACGCATTAAAAAGATGCAGAAATTATAAAACAAAATAAATAAAGAAGTTATAAAAGAAACAGTTACGACTATTTATCACGTAAAATTTTATGAAAAAATTGACTCGTTTGTCTCGAAGCATTTCTATGGAGACACTATCTATATAATTTATTACTTTTACGTTGCTACTCGTAATATCCAGGCTAGGGTAATCATTTATCAGGTGCCGGTTCATCTAAGGCTTGTTTGCCGCTTTTTTATATAAATTAATTTCCGTGCTCTCCTATTCTATTCAGTGCCTTTTTTTTGGTTTAAATGTAAATTTTATTCGTAGTAGCTCCGTTATCGTTCGTAGTATCTCATGTTAGCATTTGCGATTAAATTATAAAATTTTTTTTTCATATTATTTTCAATTCTTCACACAATTTTAGGTTAATATTTTACACTACAGGCATATTTTATGCAAAAATAATAATTATTTATTGCGCATAAAAAAGCTGTTCGCTAGTGACATTGTTGTTCTTATTGAAGGAAAAATCGATGGCTGACGAGACGTAGACATAATAGATTTAAAATATTAGAATTTAGTACGCGAAGTTATGTCTATAAAATATACAGTAACGTAAATACATTTTTAATCTAAAATAAAGTTAATTATTTTGGGTTTAAAATATATTGTATTTACAATTTAACCTACTACGATTTTCTTACATTACGATATGATTTGACGAAAGGAAATTTGCGGCCAAATAAAGTTCGAGTTTTATGATATTCATAATATTATTTGCTCTCTATTCTAGCGGGAATCATCATCTTATTTCATAAAAGATAAGGGTTTTTTGATTTTATGATATGATATCTCATCAAGGCTGTGTTTACGATCTTGATTCTGTAAAAGATATACGAACCATAAAATGAGTTCCCGCTAACGCGATGTTTTATTTTGTATGAGAGATTTTTGGATTACAATCAAATAATTTAGTATTTTATTGAGCTCCCTTCCTGTAAGAACTATAAATCTATTCAGCTGAATATTCCGTGAACAATATCTCTGAGGGTCCTCCTTTGGAAAAATAAGTGAAGTAGTTATAAATTATACTTTCAGTCACTGGCTTTATGCGCACGCGGAGCGGCGGAAAAAGTTTTTCTTCTGACATTTTTATTATTTTATTATTGTGAAAAAATAGGTTATTTTTTAAGAATCATCAAAAGTCTTCCTGTTTGAAACTTGTTTCCAACTCGCTTGTATTTTTTTGTATGTTTTATTTGTTTTGACGATATTTTCGTTGATCTTGAAGATTTTTATATTTTTTTTTTGCCACGATTGAAATACATAAATGGTTTCTTTTAAAACATTAACAATAAATAAATTTAGAAGCTAAAATAACTATTAGAAATTAGTTCTATTTATTGCCATTGGATTGCTGATATCACTGTATGTCATGAAAAATGTATTTAATCCATCTAACAATTAGGAAGCAATCGTGCTTCGTAATATGATTATTTTTGACATCCAGCAAACGTTCACGACTTCGTGATATCGTAATGTTTGCGCAGTGTTTACTATTTTAGGTAATGATGTTCCATTTTACGTGCAGATCCGTAGCGTCCCAGCTTATAATGGGCCAACCAGTGATGGCGGAGACCTACGATCAAGTTACAATCTACTTCAGCGATATCATAGGCTTCACCCAATTATCTGCCGAGTCCACTCCACTGGAGGTCGTTGACCTTTTAAATGATCTGTACACGAGTTTCGATTCAATTATTGAGAACTTCGATGTTTATAAGGTAAGTTTCTATTTGATTTATTTTTATTTTTGCCATATTCAAATATGTACACAGGGTGGACTTAATGCCTGATGACATTCTCTACATGTGAACCATTATGTTAAACAGAGAAATTAAATGGTTTAACTAAATCGATTTGTGAACGAAATATTTAATTGTTATATTTGGGTACCTGTTTCATTTTTGATATATTTCGAATTTTTTGTTTATACCTACATAATGTTATAGTTTTTATATTATATGTGAATAAACAATAAATAACTAAAATAATTGTATTTACATAAATCACATAAAACTAAAAATGTAAACAATTTTTATTTTAAACAAATATGTAGAGAATTTCAAAATAAAAGTGTATGTTCCGTATATACGTTGTTTGAAAATTGCACCGAGGAAAACTTCTTTTCTAGCAAAGTGAAGGGCCATCGGAGAATGTCGCCGGTCATAAATTACATTACACACAGTACAGACAGAGTCTCAAGTATTTCCTTAAAGAAACGTTTTATTGCAGCATCCTTTGAGTAAAGTTATAAAGAACCGACCTGTACCCAATAGCCGTAAATCGTTCGAACTCTGGACTCGAGAATATAAATTTGGTGTAAGAAAAGCAAAACTTTCCAAGTGGTAATAGCATTAGGATAGACATGTTGTAAGTACTTAATGTAGCGAGTAACGGCGTCCCATTTACAAGTCCATTTTGGTTTTGGGTTAAGTACGGAAGTATATTGCTGGATATTAACGCCTAATATAGGTAATATATCCAAAATGGTACTGCTGATCTAAAAACGAGCTGCGCGAGGTATATTTGGTAATATAAAACATTATTACACAGACATAATAAATTACCTATCCAATTGAAAGTTATCCCGGTCTATCACTATAACATTTCTATAAAACTATCGATTTTTGCCGAAAATAAAAAAAAAAAAAACTCGGATTTTTCCTTTCATAAATAGAGATGCGACAGTGACTGTCAATCACGAATCAGTAATTTCTTAATTTAAAATCATTAACGAATCATTTTATATTCCAACAGGTGGAGACTATAGGTGACGCCTACATGGTAGTATCTGGGTTACCGATGAGAAATGGTAACCGGCACGCCGCTGAAATAGCAAGGATGTCGCTGGCTTTGCTCAGAGCAGTGCGCCTGAAAACCGTGCCACATCGGCCTGGAGAACGATTGCTACTGAGGATTGGCATGCACACAGGTTTGTATGCCAATTTTCTTCCTCCAAAGGACCAGATTTTATCCTCACCTATCATTATTCACTGGAACCCCGTCAGCGTATACCTAGAATGCAGGTGGGGTTACCATTCCATCATCAACTATTAAAAAATTACCTCTTTTAGACTAATGACAAAGTATTTTAACATATACGAGTAGATAGAAAAAGTGCATGACGCCGGACGTTAATATAACTTTTTATCTCATGTATGAGGTAGCAATAACGTATCTATCGATATGTTCGTTTGTCTACGGGACTTGAGAAAAAAGTGAGTTATAATTTTTTTTTCCAGATGGATATATTCGATAAATATTTTTGTCACTGTCGTATTTATATGACACTTGTGTTGTTTTTTGTTTATTCAACTATCTATTACTAAAGTAAAACTACATTATATAAAATACAGTTATATTATTTTAATTTTTATACAGATTATAATATTCTAAAATTAAATTAAAAATAAAACAAAGTACCTATAATGTAAAAAAATCAATTTGAGTCATGTCTTACGAGGCTCAGCGTCGACTTTGTAACAACAAAGTCTACTAATTTTAGTTGATTTGTATTATGTTATTATAGTATTCTATTCTAACAATACCATATCTAAAGGTAGGTGCACTGTTAAATACTATAATACAGTATAGTAACTAAGCATAATACAGTAAATAATATTGTATGCTATCTGTGTAACTGTGACACCGGAACTAGTATAGAACTATGTTCGTACTGTATCTGAGATGTCACTTATACAGCGTGAAACGGAACGGATTATTGTTTGTAGTTGAGTTTAAAAAAGAAGTTTTTAATTTGACTGTATTTTTTTTAAATGAATGAATGTTTTTATTTTGAATTCAGAGATGGCACTGAAATTATAAATTTTAATGAATTATTCTGTATCTGAGATATCACATACAGCATGTAACGGAACGGATTGTTGTTTGTAATTGAGATTAAAAAAAATAATTTGACTGTATTTTTTGTAATGAATTGAAAGTTTTTATTTTTTATTTAGAGATGGTACTAAGACTACAAATTCTGATGAAATATAGTTTTTTTTACTTAACTGTTTCACCGCTTTGTCAAATAGTAGCCCAAGTTTTAAAAGTAAATACTATATTTTTAAAACTTGGACTCAATTTGGCAACTTGATATTGTATTTTTTTTTTATATAAAAACAACAAGACTATAATAAGTAATTTTAAAATATTTACCTACTTTAGTTCTATATTTTGTTTTTTGACATTTAAATAAACAGAAAATCAACAAATAAATGAACACAGGTTATCTGTTGAATAAATTCAACTGAATAATTTCAAAAGCTTACAATTTCAATCTCTGATCATTATTCTGATTATGCAAATACAGAGATATCCAAGAATGATATTTCAGTATTGGCGGACCGTTATCTGTGAAATAATAGAACTAGTACTAGAACGTAGATGCGGGTCTGAGTATGGCTTCATATTTTAGTTATTCATATTTAATTTTCCGATTTGACTTGTGTCGAATGTTGTACATAATAATGTAGCATTATTATTTATATATTGTTAGCTAGATATATTCACTCCATTATGTTTTATATAAAAAGGAATGCCTTTATATATTTACGATAAATTTAGATACTTAATTAAACAATTTCATCTAATCACAGTGTGATGACCTTTAATGTTTTAAAAATCTAATTGTATCTATTAAAATCATAATGGATCTAAATACACACTAATAATACATAAATATATAATAGAGATAAGTAAATATACAAAGGCGAGCTTAACTCTAAAAGAGTTTTTTTTCAGCAAACCCAAAGTAAAAAGGATCAATGTCAGCGGGTAGAGCGGTGTACAATGTTGTGCCAATTTTCAAACAAAAAGAACTAGACAAACTTAAGTTTATACATAACTAATTATATTATATTTAAAAGTATATATATAAACGTACATACATACATGGACATAAATATACATACATACATATACAAACACACACACACACACACACACGCACACACATTTTTGCATGCTTTGAATGCTATATAACTAAACAAATATATATATATATATATATATATATAAAAACTGTCAACTTTCGTGGTCTCACTTGGAAACCATCATAGGAATTCCTGGTGAATTCATCACGATAGACCTACCATCTGATTTGACTTAGTCTTCATGTTATCACTCATTTGTCCGCCATTTTTTAATATAATATATATATATATATATATATATATATATATATATATATATATAATAAAAAAGAAAAGATTTCCATTTTTAATAGAAGTCTATTGAAAAGACCTATAGAATGTAACTAAATAGTTTAGAATGAACTTATCTGCAAATATCATCTATCTAGATAGACATTAGGTACCAAGCTCTGTAATCTTGTCAAACCCTGTATTTATACCTTGTTAAGTATCTACAGATTATATTTGACTATTAAACTAAGCGTACTACATTATTCTATTCCCCAAACATTTACTAAGGAGCACTGATAATAATATATACATTTCATACAGACAATGCTTTTGTTCGGTGCCGGTTCATACTAATATTATAAACTATAATAGATATATCCTGCAGATTTGCTTGCCTGAGTTAATATATTTAGGATATAATGATATTCCCTTATATAATCGTCAAACCTTTTATAAACCCATTTTAGTTATTTGTTTTGTATTTTTCTTTTATGCTAAATTTTTTATTTTTTTTAAACTACTGTGGTGGCAAACAAGCATACGGTCCATTTGTAGATAAATGGTTGCACGTACGCGCACGTTGCCGTATTCTAAGAAGCAATTTGAAAGAAAGTGCCAAAACAGTGTAATAGTTAAAATAGGTTTGTAGAAGGTTTTAGTTTATATAAACAAGGGAATAGTTTGTCACTGTACTAAATTTCATTTAAACCCATTCGGGCGTTTAAGCGTGTGTAAGTGAGTAACAAATATCTAAATGTCTTTACAAACTTTCATATTTATAGTAAAAGTTTGTTTGGATGTTTGTTACCCAATTACGCTTAAATGGCTGATCGGATTTAAATGCAATTTGGTGTTCAGATGGATCACATCGTGGGTTAACTGTAGGGACAAATTTACCTTGACCTATTTTTTTATGGATGTGTGATTTCACACAACCAACATTGTAGAATACATATATGTAGAAGCAAACATAACAGTTGTTTTACAATTTGTGTACTTTTTTATGTATTTTATTACATTTATTTTTAATTATTTATAGAATTTTTCCTTTGTAGGTCCTTGCGTGGCTGGTGTGGTTGGTCTCAAAATGCCTAGATATTGTCTTTTTGGTGATACCGTGAACACAGCGTCACGGATGGAGTCTCATGGTGAAGCTCTCAAAATACATGTCAGTCCAAAAACGAAAGAGATTCTCGATATATACGACTGTTTTGAACTGGAATGCAGAGGAGAGATCTCTATGAAGGTACATACTGTTGTATTACTAATAATTATCTATAATCAACTATGAAAAATGAATAGTTTCCTAAACATGTTTATGTTAAGACCTTGTCGAAGTTTTCGTAAGCGACTATAGGACCATAATTTTCTCAATGTAGGCAACGTACAAGTAAGTCCTTATATAAATTTTAATATGAAATCTAACTTTAAATTATTGTGATAACATATTATTTAGTTACAGAAAAAGTAATATATTTAAATGAATATTTTTTTTATAGGGCAAAGGTAAAATGATAACGTACTGGCTGATCAGAGAAAAATCTAACACTCAAGAAATGCAATCGTACGAGGAAATGAATCATATTCATACAGACATCGTGAACAACCCTAGTATCACATTTCAAGGGCCCGATAGTCCCGCATCGCATTCACTTACTCAAAGCCAAAGTCCTGAACGAGTCACTGATAACAAAGATACAAGTAACCATAGACCACTAGAACTATTGAGTGAAAGAGATCGCATAAAACATGAGATAGCAACATTCGTAGCAAAAGATTTGATAAACAATATCGACAATGCTGTTAGAGAATTCAGAAAATCACAAAGTGCAAATTTTGCGTCAATAATTCCCTCAAAACCAATATGCAATGGTAGCAATAAAAGTCAAATTACCCCTACATATGATAAGGAGCTCGTCATCAGTAAAGGAAAGGTACGAGATGTCGTGAACAGATTCAACAGTTGTGTTATCAACGAAAGTGGGAGTAAAGTAACGAAATCAAAAACTATGAAAACTGAAGACTGAATGTAATAGAAAACTTTACGCTTATTGTTTTTCCCTGCCCGGTCTAAATTGAATATTAGATTTAGAGATCCGGTACTCAGAATTTTATAAATATGTTATCGGTGTATTGTGCTAAGCACAAAGTGACTTTCTACTTTATCTAGTCATTAATTTTAAGACTTAACTTTATTATAAATTGTATGTTGACTAGAGAAATATAGTTTATAGTGGGTGACCAAGTACCCTCCGAATTTTAGGTAATAATAAAGAATATAAATGTAGTAGACTCTATGTGCGTAGAATAAGAGATAATCGTGACGGCGATTCATCAGAAAGATGTAGTGAGATATTAAAAAATATGAAGCGATATAGGAATACTATATTGTATTATACACTTAGTCCCTGTAGTGTTTTTACTGACCTTTTATACTTCCGTACCTTTCTAATCAATCGTATACTTAGAATATTAATGATAGATATGAAAACCTCCCTCACTTAGATTATATAAATAGTGTCTCTATACAAATGCTTCGAAAAAAGCGGGTCAAATTTTTAATACAATTTTGCGTGATAAATTGTTATGGGTGATTCCTTTATAACTTCTATATTTATTTTGTCTTATAATTTCTGCATCTTTTTAATACGTAAATACTCATTGTATACATAAGCTAATTTGACAATTAGCTGAAAAAAAGTTGACCCGTTTTTATGGCTCGAGCCTCTATCTATATAATCTAAGCTCCCTCACTAATATGAAACTTCTAAGTATTAGTGTATAATAATGAACTTATTTATTTGTTATTATTTACGTTGATAGGTCTCTGAAATAGCTTTTGTCTAGAAAGTTTTGAAATGTATTGACATGTTTATTCTAGTCGAGTAATTCTATTCTCAATATACAATGATGCTATTGTAAAAAGCGATTTGTGAAATAACATTGCCATCTGCGTACTTGCCTGCATATGAAATCTGTATATACCTGGTTCAAGAGTGTAGAACAAAGGGGATATTTATATTCCCCTTTGTTGTTCACTCACCAGATGAATGGTAAATAGAACTGCGCGACCGGGGAAAAAAATTTTTACTTTCCAGAATGTAATCTTGTATTGCTGAGATGACTAAGCTTGTTGGGTGTAAGGTCAGGTTTATCAATGTAATGTTATGTATATTCCAAGTATATTAACATTTATTAAAAATTTGTATTTAGATACTTCGACATTTATTTAATTTCTTTTTTTAATATTAATTTGATCTCAGATTATATATATATATATATATATATATATATATATATATATATATATATGTATATAAAAGTTTGAGAGAGATAAGTAGCTGTACCTCTGATTCGTGTTTCAATAATATGCATGTATGTTTCATTACAGTAATAATGACTAGAATAACATGGGAATGGCAAACAGTGATTTTATCGGTTGTTAAGTCATGGTAATAAAGGGAATACTTCTATATTGGGTCATCAGCTTGTTTGAGTTGTATAAAAAAAAAAATTCTATATTTGTCATCACTATTTTCATTTCTTAACTAGGATTAAAACTGCGATCTCCGTCTATTTAGTGAAGTATTAAACTGTGACGCTGCAATATGAAGATTTAATAAATTAAGAAAGTAAAAACACCTACTCGTAGTATAACATTAGTTCCTTTATCCAATTAATTAGTTTTTTTCATATGCATTAACTTTTTTTAAATATTTTTAAGAGACTTCTAAAAAGAGATTATATTAAATCTATGAATTAGTTTATAGTTATTTAATCTTCATCTATTTTGAACTAATTGTGAAGATTTTTTGTGCGATCCATGGTATTTAATTCTGTTTTGATCAGATTAATTCATTTGTTATATTTAAGCCGCTATTTTGTTTTGCAAAGTAATTTCTTAAATTATTTTCTCATTAGTTTTGATATTATTTGTTTTATATTCTCATATCGTTTTAATAAGAATGTATATAATAGACTCAGGAAAACGTTGCTTTATATTGAAACTTGGTACTTTATCAGCTTAGATCATCATTCAAATACGCACCTTCGTTCGAAATTCAAAAGATAAACAACGGATTCTATGGTTTGGTTAATTAACTTGCCTCAGATTTTGAATTAATTATTAAATGTTGATGTTTCTAAGTCGATGAAACTTATATAGCGCAATTTTCAGAAAGTTTCGCAACGTAAGCCAAATACTTAATTGAATTAATATTATTTTCATTTGATACTTGTATGATGTACTTTTTAGTTTAAAAACAAATGAAAATTTTGATGATGGTTTAAAATTATTTATGTTTAAAAGTTTTGTTGCATAATCAGACAGTAATTAAAACATAATTAAATTTCTGTAACCACATAAATGTAACAGAATAAATAAATACATATACTTTTCTATTTATTTGTACAGTTGACAATACTAACGACTTTTTATGTTTTTTATGTTTTTTTATTTGACTCAATAAGAAATGCTCTTGTGGCACTATTTCTCTTTTATATAATTTCTTAACCTAATATTTTAACTTGATATTTTTGCGAAATTACTGTTTTATGGATCATCATCGACTAAATTTATAATAATTTTGAGCTAAATCTATTAGAAATGTATCTATTATAAGCAGTATTTCCGAACCGATACGACAATATAACCTTCAAGAAAAGAGCATATTCCTTTTTAAAAGGTCGGCAGCACACCTGCAATGCCTCTGGAGTTGCAGGTGTTTATGGACGGCGGTGGTTACTTTCCACCAGGTGAGCCGCACGTTCGAAATTTAATTCATATTCGTTCATAGAATGAACATTTTGTTATGTTATCAAATTACAATTTTATTTTTAGAGATAGGTTAATCGATCTTTTTGACCTATGTATGTGGTTAGTGTATTGTGGTTATAGGTAGGATTGAATTTCATCGTATTTAAATTTTAATTTGATTCGCTTCTGGAACAGAATTTTGCGGTTTTCTGTAGTGCTTATTATTATAGAGTATAATTTGGTTTCATATTATTTAAAACTAAATAACATTAAATGCAGAAAAGCATAGTTTCTGTGAAGCGGTTTAACAAGTGGGCAGATGTATTAATTTAGATGATTTGTGTATAGATTTCTTCTTATAATTTATTAAGAAATATTATTAAATATATTAAAAATTTGTACCTGTAATGACATTATCTAGATAGGGCATCTCCCTACGAATTCTACGATAATATTGTTTATTTTTTTATTGGTATATTTTTTAATTGATGACTTTTATTATATAAATCAACCTTTCATTTTATTTTTATTTTCTATATTATCAATATGATGCATATTTTTGTAATATTATTCATTTGATATTGGAGGATAATAATATTTATTATAAATTAAAAAAATCTAAAAAAAGTCACAATTGGTAGGGTATCCAGGAGGCCAGGAGGAGGAGGAGTATCTAGCCTCATGCCCCCGTTGAATAACGATAGAAATATGTCGACCAAAAGAATTATTAATATTTTTACATTTAGATTTTTATAAATGAAAAAAAAAAATGCTAAAACATTCAGTAAAAATGGCGTGTCAGCTAACAGTTGGTTGATCGCTTTTTGGATATTTTAATACACTCGACGCCCAACCTTGATTCATATGATCTAAGCCTACCTATCTATATCCTTATAACACAAAAATCTTTTATTCTGTTAGAAATCAGGAAATAAGAACATGTAGGCACTTGAATTACCCGAGATGGAGGCTAGTTAAAAGAATATTGGATGTAACTTTTGGTTTCATCGAGAACCTGAGAATCTTATATGCCCTTTGTTCGAATCCGAATTCAAAATGAAGGGTCTATTACCGATTCACATTCGCACAAAGAGACCTCTCTTATGTTCCCATAATTACCAAAGCTATTTATATATTTATTTATACTATTAACAACTTGAATTTCCTAAGATGCTATAATCTTTAAGAGCTGTGGCATAAAACTATTCGTTTTTATTATATCCAAGAATTTAATTCTCTAAAAAAATCTACTATATGAAAAAAATCTACAGCTTTTTTTTATACTATAATGAATGGTCTCACTAATTGTAAACTTATATTTACTATTCTATAGTATACAAGTTAATAACGTAAGTAAGTAATGATATTTATTATTAACAAAAAACTACGTAGCACTTATTATTTTTATTATTGGTAAAATTCAATATCTCTTTAAGTCGTTAAATGTTTTGTAAGCATTAATGTACTTTGGCAAATCTAGAATCTTGTAAGTTCGGGAACTTCTATGGACAGCTTTTACATTCTCGCCAAAACCTCATTATCAATTTTGAATTAGCTAGACTTAGCTATATATTTTACATAGCATATTATACTCTATGCGCTATATATTAATTTTATATTAGTATTATCTATCTATTTGTCTTGGTGCAAGTACCTTGTGGGGTGTCAAAAACTCTTATTATGAGATACATCTCTAGTTTTATCTATTTTGATTCCACATGTATATACTCGTACATGGTGATTCCGGACACTATATATATTATATTGTCGTCACCTTGAATATATACCCTGTCTTGTAACCCACGAGGAAAAAGGTACATATGTTCCCAATTGATATTCCTTTCTTTACCTATGTCTTTCTTCTCCTACCTTAGCCTATCCTTTGTTGAGTGTGTACTGAATTTGTGAGTGGTTGTGTGTTCGGTGTATGAATTGTATTGGATGATTCTGGTGTGTTTGTTCATTTCTGTGTGTTAGTTGTTTATTGTGTGGTTGATGACTGCTGCGTGTTTTGAATGACGATTGTGTGTATTGTGCACGAATTTGGTATCTCCTAATACATTGCTAAGTATGGTTGATGTATGAACGGATTCTTGTTTTAGTAAGATGGTGATGTCAATATTGGTATTTAGTTTATTTATGTATTTTAGCTACCATTTCTGTTGTGCCTATTACTGTCTGGATGATAATAGTTCGTGTGTTCCTTAAATGGGTTGTATGCCCTATATGGCAAATATTGACAATTCTATGCTTGGGTATATCTGCCGCTTTTTAATACAGTTAAATAAAAGTTCACTGTCTATGTTGGCATGATTTTGTACATTTTTAGAAAATAAAAGAAATTAAAAAATATAATATTAGTTGTTTTATGCTACATGTCTTTGTATAAAAAATAATACTTATTATACACATAATTTTTGCTATAATGTTTAGTTTTCAGTTGATAATGAAACGTTAATTAAGTAATTTTTAGTTAGAATAAAATATGTGACATATGAGACATTATCCGTCTTGAAATGGTATTATAATTATTGTTGTTATTTTACTGATCTTATTTTAACAAGGGATAATAAATATAACAAAGAAAATGATTTCGTCTAATGGCTGAGCATACTATCAAAACACTTAAAAAAGGAGTTTCACAATTTGGTTGTATTTTTTTATATTTGTTACTTCATAACTCCGACAGTTATAAACAAATTTGGAATTTTTTATCCGGAAGCTTATATTTACAGATTGAACCCATAAAACTTTTTTCAAAATTGTTTCCGTAGTTTAGTTTTTAAATCAAAATAACTCTTTTTGCTACAATCGAAGTCGGTCTTTTTTTTTTGTGGAACATCTAAAATAATTTC